TATTACCGGAAGTGACGTCTATTGATAGCAACCTATTTGGTAAAATTCAAATGCTAACCAATAATGGCTCTTGTGGTGCAATTTGTAGACATTTGTAGTCAATGTAAAACAACAGAAAAACAATGCAGTTAGTGTCTACTAGGGTGTGGGCATCTAGAGTGATTTTCATAAACCCGTGAAACAAAATTTAGCTATTAACTTCTATTGACGCATATTATTGTGTAATAGCGGTTATCAGTGAGACAACTTAGTATTGCAGTGAAAGTTTATTGACTGTATTTTATTACTTCGATGTCTAATGAGTAATAACTCGTATTAGTTTGTATTGATGATTATTACGCTAATATTAACCCGTGAAATTAATTAAATTACTAGTCAACGTGTATTAGTCAAATAGACACAAAAGAAAACAATGGAAATTACGAGGTTGTTTTACTAGAGTAAAGGCTTTTAACCCGTGAGTCAATGTGTAATAGTCAAATAGACCGACAAAAGAAAACAATGGAATTAGGGTCTAATAAAACGTGTTAATAGTCAAATATCTATTTCAAGGATTTAATGACTTCGAAGTAAAATCACTCTAACTGTTCTGTTAGTAATTACTTAATAATTATGTAACTTTCTTTTTCGAGCTGGAAGCAAAATCACAACTCTATAATATTCTTGGATAACAACATTAAAACTGAATAATCAATTAAGCTTGTATTTGATTTTTTCTTGTCAGCTGTCTGATCGATAGGCAAACATGAGTAAGTGTCAATCCATGAAAATTCAACATCTCTATCCATAATGACGTTAACTCAATACTAGACACGAAAAAGTTCGAAACTGGGAGCTGAAATAACAAATACGCTGTCTGATATATTAAGAAAAGCTAACTCTTGTAGCCATTTATAGCAGATGAGGAAACAGCTGTCAGTCCAGTTTTGGCTCTTCTACTTCAGTATTCAGCAAGAAAATTCTGTGTGTTTGTCTCAGTGTCCTATTAGAAGCCAAACCGCATAGGTACGAAATCACAGCTATTACATAATCAGTGTTTTTAATGCATAAAAACGTATAAAAGAGAAAGAAAGAAAGAAAGAAAAACCAAAGAAAGAAAGAAAGAGAGTAAGAAGGAAAGGGAGAAAGGAAGAAAGAAAGGAAAAAAAAAAAAAAAAAAGACGTCAGTTTGGTGCAGTTGTCTGTCTGTCCACCTGTTGCCTAACTTTCTCTCGTCGCTCTGTCTGCTGTTGTTTAAAGCCCTATTTTAGGCCTAGGGCAAACGTCAAACTTTCCATGCACCGAATTTAATTACATTAAAGAATGCCGCCTCATTATCACCTGATATCCATTGTTTTTAATGAGTTCGGTGCATGGAAAGTTCGACGTTTGCCCTAGGCCTTATTGAATTTATATCTTGAATCAAATAAAACAGCTATAACTGGCAGAAGCTGGCAAATAATTTTCATTCCATCTTCTTAAAAAGATTTCATAATATTTAGAGGCAGCAATTATATAATATATCAAGCACGGATCTAAGAAAAACTCCTATCCAATCCGAATCGATAACTTTGAAAAACGAGGTGTCACTTTTCCGCTTGAACTCACGGATATCCAAGCAGCAGTAAGGGGGACTCGCGGTCAATGTCAAAGATTTACGGGTTTTACAGGCGGTCTAAGGAACGGGTCGGCAGCGGGAATAAGCCGCGCGACAAGTCCTTACTGCTGCT